AAACATTTTCGCTACCGTAGCGAATCATGGTTTGCCAAAAGTATTTTGCTGCATAAATTTCGAAGCCACGGCACAGTAAAATATTAGCTATCATAACTAAATATTAGCTGTCCATGTTTTACAAATGAAATTTAAGCCAACGGCACACGATACTATTTTTCCTACTGCTTACGAGAACCAATAAAAATGCAGAGTTACCACACGCAGTTTTTAGCTATGTCACCTACATTTCTCTTCCGTGGAGATTAACACTTAAAAAACTGCGTTTTGTTTCAAACAAAAAGAAAGGTTCATGTTAATATCGCTCGGTGAAGAGACGATTAATAATTTATTTCGAAGTTATCGTTGGGCTTGATCTGGGCTGTTGTGTTACGAGTTGACCTCTTCGCCACCGGAGCGACTCTTCCGAAAGTTAATGTCTTCCCGCAGAAAAATTGGCATACAGACGACCGGATAATAGCCACGCTTTCGGTTCGTCACGCGCGATAGAGCAAACTCCAAGGAGCTTATCGATGGATTGCAACCGGCCGATCGATCCATTATTCACCGCTTCTCAAATCCGAGATCGATACGCGATACGATACACAAATCAATGTCGAAACTCAGCGTCTACAAAGACACGATCGATTTGCCGCGATATCATCTCCTTTGTGGCATCGGTACGTTCTACACGTGTACAAATCCGAGCGGATCTCCTTTCGCGGATCGATCCACGCGATCTCGGCCGGCCGAGCCGGATCATATAATTGATTTAGGCTTTCGTCGAAATGCTTTTAACTCTGATTTGCGATGCGTGCTCCTTTACTAGAATTACGGCGTACGCTTCCTGCTCTCGAGAGAGCGGTCCAATAGCACTCCCACTCGGTAATTCGCGCAGATTGATCTTTACGATCGCCGCGCGCGCCGGCTCGTAGATTCGCCGCGCTTATTTCGGATCAGCTGTATTTAATCTAGACGCGAGATACACGACGCCGTGGTCCAAATGACATGATTGTGGGTCATCGCACCCCGGCCGCACGCACACGACTGGGATCTCAGCGGGGCGTGCGCGTAAAGTAAGCTTCGCGCGGGAGCGGAAACGCTCTCGAGGTCTAATTTGTCAAATGGATTTTTATCTCGTCCGATTAATTAAAAGTAACATGGGACGTGCAAACCTCATAGGTTTCATTATGCGTATTGCTATTCATTGCCAGACGTCGTTACGATACATTCAATTGCGTACTCGAGCGCGTGCTTCCCAAAGTAATTAACTACGAATTTATCCCCGTCACGTGACAACCGTTAATTGCTATTCCATTCGCTTGTCCGCTGTTCTGTAGATAGTCGTAAGAATAGTACGGATGCTTTCGTACAGCGCATAGCAATGACCATATGTGCGATCGTGTCGTAAAAGCCACAATGTGCGGATCAAATATCGATATGTCATACATTACCAGGCGAGAATATCGATGAGAGTGACTAACGTCATATGAGACTCTTTATCGACACGTTTAATTGTTTTATCCACTTCCTCACTCTCCAAATTTTTATGACTAACAATTTTATTGTTAGCAAAGTATTATCTATATCGCGTTCTAATCACGTGTTACCACCTGACAGTTATAACTTCTACGTAAGAAATTTAAATCTTAGTCGTTACAACTTTTTGCCATTTTAGTTGGAAAACTGACGTGTCAAATAAACGATGAACACAGAAACCCACGCGCGACGTCGAAATGAAAACTTTTGTAAAACGTGACATTTGGATCATCTCACTGGACCGTGGAATTCTAAAAAAACATTCACCCCTTGTCTCCTCTAACTGACCCCGGCCCTAATCTGACATTTCCGTCTTGAGCTCTTCTCCAGATCTCATCGTCTATCGGAGAAAGTCTCAGGGGAGCGCTCGGAAGATGCGACGAGGATTTCAAGAGACGTTTATAAAGATAGAAACTCCGACGGGAAGAAAAATAAGTTTACGGAGAAATAGGGCAAAGAGACATAGCGTAAAAGTGGCGGAATCAAAATATGATTCTCGCGAATCCCATTAGAACGAGAATTATGTAAAATGCGGAAGTCAGTAGTGATGAAATTGAGCTTAATTCCAATGAGCCTAATCGAACTCTCATTGAAATGCCACGCCGCATCTCCGCGTATCCGCGCGTTTGCGCAACGCGCTCCCCGTGCGTGCTACGCACAGGCTTCTGTACGGGGTGTCCCAGGAAGAAAGGTCAATACTCTGGGAGGTGATAGTATCGGTCATTTTAATGAAAAATGTTCATATAAATATATGTCCTATTACTCACTGTTTCCGAGACAGAATTACTTGAATGTCTCGTGTAATTACTTGCTACACTGAAAAAAATTTCTGGTTGAATATGGACGAATCAGATAATTCCTTTAGGATTTACCAGAATTCCTTTAGGATTTACCAGAATTTCTGTAGGATTACAGGAATTCTGGTAAATCCTAAAGGAATTCTGGTAAATCCTAATTTCTGTAGGATTACAGGAATTCTGGTAAATCCTAAAGGAATTCTGGTAAATCCTAAAGGAATTATCTGATTCGTCCATATTCAACCAGAAATTTTTTTCAGTGTACGTATATTCATATGAACATTTTTGCTTGAAATGACCGACACTATAACCTCCTAGAATATTGACCTTTCCTCCAGGGACACCCTGTATACTACTAGACTGCTACCTTCGAGCTGAAATGCGAGGGAAGAGTTTTGCCACGTCTCGTTAGATAAATTAAGTAGTATGTGTGCATCGGTCTGTCAGTGACACATCGATGCACACGCGCTAATTTACTTACCTAACGAGACATGACGGATCTCTTGCCTCACTTTTCAGCTGGACGCTAGCGGTCTAGTAGCACGTATACAGAAGTCTGGCCCTTGGGAAAATATACCTTAGAAAACCTTAAAATTTTCTTCTTACGAGAAAGTGCTATGCCGCGCGGCCCCCCAAGCGGGAACTTCGACAGACTTGGCTATCTAAAAATTACTTCGAGTGTCCAAAATTACTCGAAAATGTCTTAAGTAAACTTCAAACTTCTTTAAGTAAACCTTAAGATTTGAAAGGTTACTTTTAAGAACTTTAATTTCCTTTCAAGTAAATTTTTCCAAGGGTGTGGTGCCTACGTATCGAGTAATCCGACGTGTACTCACGCTCTTGCCGTGGCTCGTGCTGTGGTGCGTGTGGTGCGTGTCGAGCTTCATGTTGGCGCAACGATTAAGGGCGTGCAGACGCCGGAAAAGGCTCTGTAGCGAGTCGGCCTCGAGGAAAGGGTGGTCCTTGGCTACGCCGGAAACGTCAATCGGAAACTGGTAGTCTGAAACACGAAGACGGACGTCCGTTCAATTTTCGTACGTTCTTGCGCGCGCTCGATTATCGCTCGAGATAGGATAGGGTGTCGCGCTTACGCGTGTATTTGCGCAAGCGAAAAAGCGTATCGTAGCGATATTTGATAACGTGAAAAATATACGCCGTATCAGCCGCGTTTGTTTGTTTGTTGCATCGGCGCATTCAGGGTCGCGCTCGATTATCGAATGCGCTAAACGCGCGCAGGTACACGCCGTGAATAGACCAAATCCGTGTACATTTAGTCCACGGGCATTAATCTCCTCGTAAATTCGAGAAGGGCTCATCACATGTTGATTGTGCGTGGTCGCGCCATTTTTCTGTTTTTTTTTTCGCTCGAAACGTTTAAATCCAAATGAAAAAGTTGAAACGCGCGTTTTATCTCCACGCGATCGTCATTATAATATCTAATTGGATTTTACAACATCTAAAACGTTTCTCTTTTAATTAAAATTTCCTCGCATTTTCTCATAAATTTAATAATCGCATAAAATAACGCTTTCGCAATGTCACATACAGAAATACTTTTTTCTAGACTAATTTTTCGTAAGGGCAAAGAAAATTGTGTAGAAATTGTGAAATGTAGTAACATAAACCTTTAAGCTCTCTGTAACAGTGTCGCTATCCTTTGTCGCCCACAAAAACTGTTAAATGTTGTCGTAATATGGCTTCAAAAAATAAATATCGTAAACGCTATTATTAACGCCGACGTCTGCTGAAGCCGTGCAACGATCATTTGACAATTTTCGTTCGCAATAAAAAATTGCAAAAGTTATTTCAGATTCTACAAAGTTATATAATTCACTTTGTGTGTAACAAAGCTGTCACAATGATAATAAACTTTCGCGAATAGAACGTCGGCGTTATTTCCTCTCATTTTGCAGTAGCAGCGACAGTTAAAAAAAAAAAGATTCGCTCTTAGCGAAAATAAAAATAGTGATTTTCGTTCTTCCTTTTTTTTGGCGGAAACTCGTTTCTCCACGCTATCTCTCTAGGATTTCTTCGTAAATGTGTCGCAGCGATCTCTCGTATAAGTTTGGAAGACTTCTGTCACGACTTGCGCAACGCTGGCCTAGATCTTCTGAACCAGATCTCGGATCTACGATCTTTAACCGGGATCGATCATTCGTCGATCCTCCAAGTAGAACGGCTCTTCGATAAGTACGACGAACGTTTCCGTGGTATTGAAAATTTCCCGACGCAAAGTATAATGCGCATATATGTATTTGTTACATCGAGGATAGAGGAAAGTCCCCTATTATGCGACAAGTTCCTAATATGAGATAGCGGGGTTTCTGTTAAATAAACGAGCATCATTTTATTGGTTCCACCATGAATTTATTGTTCTTGAGGTGAAATCTGTTTAGTGGAAAATTGATAGATAGTGTAATCGTTGCGAAAAAAGATCTGTGACTAAATTTGGACGTGGAAAACTGTCTCACATTAGAAGCCTATCTCGTAATAGGACACTTCCCTCTATTGTTCCGTCTGGTCGCACAAAATGCCAAAAGAGGGAGGGCGTTGCCAGCAACGTTCCATTAGAGTTTCTCGCAAACCAGCTTGGCAATTAAAACAAATTCCGTCCACCGCGGGCAAGTGTAATGCGCGCGCATGTCAGCCACGTTTATTTTCACTTATTAAAGTGTAAAGATGATTAACGACCCGGAGCGGTCGCCGATGTTACCCGATAGCGGATAAATTAACCAGTTATCTGCACTACGTAACGACGTTATACGCGCACTCCGCTTCTTCTCCGGAGCGCGTAAACGTCCGTATTTTCCAATCGTTAACATTTCTTCACGCCGCGCGGCCGAGAAGAAGCTTTTGCAACGCCGTGCCTCTCGAATACGATAAACGCGCCGTGTAATTCCTGCAAACCGCCGTGGCAATTTCCACCATGGGCTCACATTATCATTCACCGCGCACGTGATTTGACGCGCGCGCCGAATGTAAAACACGCCGTTGCAAAAACTCTCCATCGCCGGACGAATTATCCAGCTTTTTTCCGAGCTGTGTGATAGCGTAAAATACAAGTCGAGGCATGGCACAAGCGGTTTCGCATTCTAATAAAACGTGCCAACCGACGACAATGTAGAATGACGTTTGTGTCAATATTATTCGATGAGGAACGATTTGATTCATTACGCGTCGCACACGCGCCTATCTTTATCTCTTTCGCTGGCTACGCGTCAATCGGCGCGTACTTCCTGGCAGCGAGATCGCTCGCCAACGATCTTACGATGCTGTCGGCAGATTTACGTTAATGATCGGCGTTCGCTTCCTGAATATCCCGGCCAACGGACTAATCACGTTTTACCGGGAAATTCGCTGACTACGGTGCTCGTCTGACGAATCAATTAGCCTGCGGACTTTCACTCGTCGACACAATGGCGAGCATCGACGAATACCGATTTGTTTGCCCGCCGTTGCAAAAACGTGCTCTTGTCAGGGTTGTTGGGAAAGTTACTTCACAAAAGTATCTAGTTACAGGTACAAGTTATCAATTCTGAAAAGTAACACGTTGCAGTCACGGTTAATACGACGATATCAAAATAAAGTCAACCATTCTTATTCTCCTCTATCGAATTGAACAAGATTGACTTACTGTATTGCGACAAGAGTAAGTTATATAAATGTAAGTTTATATTCTCTTGCGTTTGGAACAAATTTTCCCTACATCTTACAACCCACGAAGTTGGCAAAGGACGATACGTACTATCATTTTATTCTAGATTTTAGAATTTTTCATTTAAGGATGTATCTGAGCTATTTCAAAATAGTACCACATTGATGAAACTTCGGGAAACACTTCCTTTGTTATCTGTAATATACTGAAAAAAATTTTAAGTAGATTTACTAAATCGTTAGAGAGTAATTATTATTTCAATTATGTCTGATTTTACATGTGTTCTTATGGGAAACGCAATTTTCTTGAATGAAATGAGTAATAAAGTATAGAAAAAATAGTACCAAAATTTTAATTTTTTTTATACATATAGACCATGGATTATTGGAACTTTGTGCAAAATTCGATTAGGTTTCACAACACGGTTTAGGAGAAATTAATTATTATTCATGACAATTTTGCGGTTTCTGTAATATGTCAATTACTGGACTGTAGAAGTGCGGCAACTTCATTCTGGGCATTTTCACTTCCAAAAGTTTTATTGTAAAAAGTTGTAAAATGGCAAATAAACCTAATAAAGTGCTGAAAAATGTGAAAAATAACTTTTTAAAAATAAATATATTATGTTAGTTATCATTTATATCAGTTATCACTAGGTTTACGTAGCACGTTTAGCGTAGATATGCCAGTTTTTCGAATTTGGGGGATTTTTGTCAATGATTGTATCTCAGATACATCCTTAAGATTAAAATATTCCTTTCTCTATAATTAATATGACTGGCGCTATATCGATCCTATTTTATGATACATTGAAGTATGAAGCACTGGATCCGGAAATTTTTTCCGTGGGTTCTCGCCGACGCGTATTAAGTCCCGCGCGTTCGCCCTCGCGGGCGATACTTTGCATTCTTCCTCTTTACGTGCCGTCTCTCGTTCCAAGGTCGAAAAAGAGGATCGATTTTATAATGGCGAGCCCGTGTCGCTCGCGAGACACAAAAATTCACTCCGCGAGCGATTTGATAAATTTATCCGGCGGCGCATCGGGCGAAGAATGGCGATGTGATCGATCGGATCGCGTCCTTAATTTATCACGCCGATCGTCAGACACGACACCCACATTCGGTCGCGTCGCTGGAATTCCACGAAGGATCGGTCGAGGGAGAATCCTCCGCGCGGCCGGACACGACCCGCCGTAATATCCTTGCGGGATCGCGCGTGCGTGCGCGCGCGCGTGTGTAGGTGCGTGCACACGTGAGTCGCGTGATTCCCCCCGTACGTGTTCGATGGGCGGCATCGGTATCGGTATTTATATCGTGCCTTGCGCCGACCGACTCGGGTTCAACTGGGTCAATTAGCTACTATTCATAGTGCGCTTCGATCGCGAGAACTCGTCTGAGTTATGATCAATCGTGCACTTTGTACGCGGTACCACGCACGTGTGCGCGTACGTACGTTTGTGCCTAGGCGCACGCACACGCGCACACGTGCGCGCGATCGTGCACGCGTGAGTTTGACACGCACGTGTACGTGTGCATGTGACTGGCATTCGCCAGACCTGCCGACGTATTAGAGCTGTCAGTTTAGAGCCGATTCCGAAGCCGTTACGATTTGTCAGAGCGCGCCCAGGAAAAAGTTTGCTCGAAATCCAACAAATTTCTCGGAATTTTGACCTTACTAGACTTTTTAAATTTAATTTCAAAGAAATTATTTCTTTACCTCGACCAAAATTTTATGTGATCGGGACTGAAATTTTCGAGAGAATTTACGCCTATTTCTTCAAATCTAGCAAATGTTTTAGTACAAGTAAATAAAAAATTAGTAGATTCAGATATGATTTCAACCTGTCTCATTTGTCCAACGTGACTAATTCTTTTTTCTGGGTGCGCGCGATTGTAAAATAATATCTTTAAAACGCAGCGTAAATGTTCCCATGTTTTTGAGACTCTCCCGAGTTCAGTGAAACTTCTCTAAAATGCGCTGGATAAATTTTCTTCTCGTCACGAATGTAATATATGTCGCATTAGAACTAGTACAGTCAATTAACAATCATATATTGATTTATGAATGCAGTTAATAAGTCTGTAATATATGCATTAGAAATAACCAAATTATTTAATTAACAACATTATATATTAATTATATCCTAATATTGTTTGTTACACGATATTATTTAATTGTTCTATTTTTATTCAACGGGTCTGCTTTCAAATCGCTTCTCCCGTGCATCCCGTTCGCAGAATTCGGGAATCACGAGCGCCGAATTCATCTTTTGAATTAAAGACACGTCTCGAGATAAACCACGCACAACGACGTTATGCGGCGAGAGGAATACATTTGTATGCTGC